TGTTAGAGGGTATGTGTGCTGGCCAGAGAGGATGGGGGGTATAAAGTGAGTGTACTCACCAGAGAGAGAGAGAGAGTGAGAAATCACCCTCCAGGAGGGATGACCACATAGTAATCCCTGCTGCTCCACTTTCCTGCTGGGATTTGGGGCGTGCATGTACGTGCACCCAGCACCATTTTCAGATCACCAGCAAGGATGCTAGGAACAGGCAGGAAGGATTCCCCATAGGCGTCGGCAGCAGCATGGCCCTGCAGACATCTTGATTTCGGATTTCTAGCCTCCAGAACCTTGTGGTCACTGTTGGAATCCACTCTGTGGTCCTTCGTTACAGCAGCCCTAGAAAACTAAGACAGATAGGAATGAACTGCCTTCGGATCCCAGTGCGTCTCAAGCGTGAGTGAATGAATGGACCAGAAGTCACGCAGAGATGGGGCTATCACAAGATGTAGGTGCTTTAACGTCCGTCACCCAATGTCACCCCAAAGCCATGAAGCAGGGATGATTGCTTCCACAACACAGAGGCAGAAGCCGGGGCTCAGAAGGCTGATTTTGTCCCCCTCCTCTGGAAGTCCAGTAACCGACCTTCATCTGCATACGGTCCCAAAACACCCTGCTCTCTAGGCTGGGAAGAAATAATCACTCTGGAGCACTCCCCGCCCACCAGGCATCATGTCCTAGTTCCCCTGACAGCTTGAAGAAGTAGGTATGATTACTATCCCTATTTTGTGTTTTATTTCCTTTTCTTCCTTTTTTTTTTTTTTTGGAGAGTTTTTTTCGCGACAGGGCGCGTTCGCTCACCAGACAGACAGAGAGACATAGAGACAGAAAGCGAGAAATCACCCCCCAGGGGGGATGGTCACGCCGCAATTCTCCTCCATTCTCCTCTCGGGATCTTGGGCACGCATGCGCACGCGCCCGGAGTGAGTTTTTTTTTTGTTTTTTTAAAGAGAGATTTTTGCTATACAGTGTGTGTGCTTGCTAGAGAGATGGAGAGACAGAAAGCAAGAAATCATCCCCTCGGGGTGAAGACCATACTGCAATCCCTTTTCCTTCATTCTCTTCTCTGGATTTTGGGCACGTGCACACACACATACCTGGTAAGAGTTTGAAGCTGCTGAGTCCAGGACACGAACTGTGGTTGGCTATGTGGGAGTCCAGTGGTCTAACTCTTACACCATTTGCTGGTCCCATTATTTCCTTTTTAAAATATTCATTTATTTCTTCTATGAGCAGAAGAGAGAGAGATTTTTGCTATACAGTGTGTGTGCTTGCTAGAGAGATGGAGAGACAGAAAGCAAGAAATCATCCCCTCGGGGTGAAGACCATACTGCAATCCCTTTTCCTTCATTCTCTTCTTTGGATTTTGGGCACGTGTACACACACATACCTGGTAAGAGTTTGAAGCTGCCGAGTCCAGGACACGAACTGTGGTTGGCTATGTGGGAGTCCAGCGACATAGCCATTACAGTAACTGCTGGTTCCCCCCTGTGGGGTCTTGATGCCTTGATCTACCACCAGCCTTAGCCGGTCCTGGATCATGGGCACCTGTGTGCCCAGCTTACTCAGGGATGTCTCGGACATGAACCCAGACCCTTCCCGTTTGGGTCTGCCTCAAAGAGCAGTGCATCTTACAGCTCTGCCACCATCTGTCTCCCTCCCACCCCCAATTTAGAGATGAGGAAATGGAGGCCTAGAAAGGTGGAATAACATCAAGGGGAGGGAGGAGGTTAGGAGGTTAAATGATGAATGAGGTCTTGGCTCTGCAGAGAACAGCAGTCTGCTGGCCAGGCTGGGGTGCTGGGGAGGGGAAGGGCCTGTGGGTGTACTGGGAAGCCCAGGCTGCGAGGGAGTTGAAGAACGCCTAGACTTTTCAAAGGGAGAGAAACCTGCTTGAGCAAAGGCCCTGAGGCTGGAGATTGCAGGACCTGTTCTAGAAACAGGTCGAGCCAGTGTGTCTGGTGGGCAGAGGCCAATCCAGAACTCCTTGTGAGGCCTTTCGAAAGATGTAGTTTTAGGAGACCTCTTAAACACATTTTTAAAAATCCTACTTTGGTAAATTTTACAAAACCCTTTAACACAAGGCCAAGTCCTCCCAATGCTCTGGAAGAGGTAAAAGGAGGGCCCTAAAGCCCCAGGACCCTTCATTCCGGGTGAGCTGAGCTGGCCTCTGGGCCAGCGTCGGTGGGAGAGGGGTAGGGGCTGTCCTGGCCGGTGTTTATGAGTGCCACTTGGAGACTGGGGTGGAAGGTGCTGCCTCACAAGGACGAGTAAACCAGGACTCCGACTGCGAGTGTCCGTGGGGAGGTGGGAGGGAAACACCCGATAATGAAATGTCTACTGTGTGGATGAGGAGAGCAGAGGGTTCCACCCAGGGATGGGCTCCCTCCTACAGGCCTCTCAGGACCACCTTAAGAGTGCCTGAAACTGCGGTCAGGAGCTCCAGGCCCAGAGAGGCATCCCCTGGACACCCAGCCTCTCCCAGCTCCACCTGCAGGGCCCCCTCCAGACCATATGCAGTGGCTTCCAGGGCGGCCTGGCCCTCACCCAGGTTGTACCTGGAACACGTGGGCATGTGGGCTGAGTGAGGGAGGCTGAACTGGCTGTGGAGGGCAGCCAGTGCCTCACCACCTAACCCTGTGGGGTGGGCACGGAGAAAGCACCAAGGCCCTTCTGTGGGGAAAACTGCCAACTGAAAGGGTGTGCACGTGTGGGGAGACACACCCCAAAACTTACACCAGAAAATAATTAAAGGCCTAGAGGCCAAGCCCAGGCAGTGGTCCTGGGGGGCAGCTTCCTGGGCATGGTGAGCCATGGATGGAGCCCCACGTCAGACTTCGGATCTAGAGAACCCTGAGATAACAGACGTGTGTGTTCTAAGCTCCGTGGTTGGGGCAATTAGAGCAGCAGGGGAACGAGACGGGGGGGGGGGGGGGCAGCAGATCCTGGGGAGAAGGAAGGGGCCGGGCGGCCAAGCCCCAGCCTGCTTCCTTGCCCCCAAGTGGGAGTGTCTGTGTCACCAGCAGACCCTGGGCGTTCCCATGGCCCCAGTTCTCAGGTTTCCAGACACAGCATGAGGGGACCACACCAAGTTCATGGGAACATGGAAGTAAAGTACAAGTTTATTTTGGTGCAAGAAGTTGGAATCCGAGGCCAGCAGGTGGCATGGGGGTTAAAGTGCTAGAATTGCAA